AGAGAGATGGCGGGTCCAGTGGTGTGTCAGAGGAGCATTGAACTACATGTGCCCATAATTGGCTACATAGATCATTAAAAGCCTGATTGAAGGCCTTCATCCACAACATCTGCAGTGGAAATGATTGCTGGGTAGGAGGTATGGCAACCATTGTGAGTGTGCATTGTAGAATAATATGCACTGCCTTCCTTTGCTTCTTTGTGGTTAACAAGCTAGTCTCCAGTTGGTACTGGGATAACTCCCACTCGTCACAAGGAGGAGGATAAGGTCTTCGGTCAGTACAAAGCTTTTCAGAAGTGGGAAATAGGTTTCATCCCTCACGTTGACAGGCTACTAGGTCTCAGCTGAAAAGAACCTGGAAGACCTGTAGATACCTTAAGATGATTCTATCTAATCAGAGGCTAGAGTGTCCTCAGGCCATAGGAGCCAGTGTAGAGTGATAAATAACACTAAAAACTCTAAATAATAGCTACATTTTGCTTTTCTCTTGAGGAGCTCATCCAGCCTGCAAACTGCTCAGTTGGCTGCCAAGCCCGCCCCTACCCCCTTACTTTTTATACAAACCTGTCATAGAGAATCCATCCTCTTTATCTAATAATGATCCATAATGCAGACTCCTTATAGAAATTCTCCCTGGGCATTCCCTTTTTTTTTTTTTTTTTTTATTCTTTATTTTAAAGGTGCATGTCAACATTGCAATGACAAAGACAGAAATGAGGTATAGTATACAGTATACAGTATAGGACTGGTTATTTAACTTGTCACTTGGTTTGCACACATTGTTTTGTAATTTTTTTAAACAAGTTGCGTTACAGTCTTGGTACGGATTTCAGCGTGCGCTACCCTTCTGTTTTTCCGAGTTGTTGCTTGCGCTGTTATGTCATCCCTTGGCTGTTTTGTGCCTCCTGGTGTGTTGCGTGGTTACGCTTGGCTGTTGTGGTGTGTGTTGCGAGGGGGACGGCTTTTGCCTATATGTGCCTTTAGAGAGCTAAGGGTCGCTGCGCTGTGTTTAAAAAAAAAAAAAAATGTTGTCGTGGTATGCTGGGGTTCTGTTGCGTGATGGTGAGTCCCCTTAACCCAGGGGGCAGCGGGATTGTCATGGAGTGGGCCATGTGTTGGCTGGTGAACCCGACTGTGCCTTAAAAGTATGATAGCATGCATCAACAGAAACAAATAAAGGCATGTAAACAACCATTAAAGAAACATATGTATCATCTAACATAGAGAACATCTCGGCGTCCTCCTTCTATTTCCAAATCGAATGGAGCTGTGTCTGCTGTAGCCAGCAGAGTAGTACAATTCCCGTCAAGAAGTTGTATTTGTGCTTCCCTGGGATCGAGGTGTGAATGAGTTCGTTGTGGCAGGATCTCCCATTGGGGACGAGGTATTCGTGGCTCTGTTCTTGTGTAAGTCCCTGAGTCTCAGTGAGGTTAAAATTGCAGGGATTTCAGTCTCCGACGTGGCTCTATATGTGTTGCCTTTGTGGGTGAACTTTATGACCCTGGGTGCACCCCAGCGGTATTGTATTCCCGCATATCTCAGGCGGCTGGTGAGGTTGTACATCGTTTTTCGCCATTGCAGTGTTGCTCTTGTCAGGTCTTGGAAGAAGAGCAGTTGTGCATTCTCGAATGCCAGGGGTGTCTTGCCTTTCACCGCATTCATTATAGTGATTCTGTGTCGTGGCGCAGCATAGGATGATGTCTCGTGCTTCTGTGGGTGGTGAGTTGGGCCCCGCTGGCAGTCGGTATGAGTACTCCAGTGTGATTTTCCGGGCAGCTGCTGGTGGCAGGATTGTGGCCAGGAGCCTCCTTAGGAAATAAGGCTGTTCGGCCTGTGTGATCGCCGCGGGCACCCCTCGGAACTTGATGTGATTGTGGCGCAGGCGGTCCCCTTGGGTGGAGACCTGTACCGCTAGCGCCTGGTGAGCTGTTTGCATTGTGTACAACGTTTCTTTAAGGTGAGTTATCTCGTTGCCTATTGTCGATACACTCTCCTCCACTGCGTGTACTCTGTCCGTATTTTGGCGCACCTCCGCTTTTATAGTGCCTATATCTTTGGCTATTAGGTCTTGGAGCTCGTGCATCCAGCGTTGGAGGTCTTGTTTGGTGGCTAAGTTGTGTTCCCCCATTTCTGTGAGGGCTGGGAATGTATTAGTTAGTGACCCCTCTGTTTGCATTGCCGGAGCTTGGGCTGGCTGTGCAGGCCACATGGGTGCGGAGGGGGCCTCTTCCGCGGCCATCCTGGGTTGTGTCTGGCGTCGCAGCATCTCCCCGATATCGCGCTGCTCTGCCGGTGAGTTCTGCCGACCTTTCTGCGTGTGGCGTTTCATGGTCATGGTCATAGGAGGGTCGGCTGATAGTAGGCCTTGATTTTGCGCTTGGCCTTCCCGGTCTTTGGGGGCTGGAAGAAGGGCATCCGCCTGTTTCCCTCGGTGTCTCGAATCGGTGAGTGGTTGTGGCGTGGACGTGTATCGATTTGTTTTCGAGTTTTTTGCGGTTAACACTTATTACAGGCAGGAGCCAACAGAGATGGCGTCTGGTCGGGTTCAGTCCCAGCCTCCGCCCCCCGGCATTCCCTTTCTTTGTCCATGAAGTGTATACAGTTATACTTATAGCTTAAAGGAACACTGTACTCACCAAAACAACTTTAGCTTAATGAAACAGTTTTGGTGTATGGATCACACCCCTGCAGTCTCACTGCTCATTTCTCTGCCATTTAGAAGTTATATTACTATTAGGCATACCCCCCTGCATGTGATTTGCAGCCTTCCTAAACACTTCTTGTAAAGAGTCATCTAATGTTTATCCTTCATTTATTGCAAAGCAGCAGGTGGTGGCATTTAAATATACATGGAGGGGGACATGCCTTTCTTCCCACCCATAGGTATCAGGTGGTATAAATCTATTGAGGACATATCCAGTTAAATAATCCCTCAACTTAATAAACATGAGGGGGTCCAATAAATTCATATTTATCTTCAAAATTCTTCTTTAATCTCATTTTCTTTTGTCTCAAGAAAGGCCTAAAAAAGAAAAAAATCATTTGCAACACGTCGCAACTATTAAAAACAAAAGACCCACAAATAAAAAATAAAATAAAAAAACTTGATGAAAAAATAAAACCCACAACTCCAAAAAATTAGATCCATGGAGGTCTCTGCACCGACTAACAATTTATAAAGGCATTCCCACGCTTTGAATTGTAACAAGCAAATCTCTCCAGAGACTTGTCTGGTAATGTAGTGCACGCTGCACAAGTTTTCAGTTAAAAACCTCTCACCATTGACATATCAAGTAAGGAGTATGGGATAATTAGGTCTTGGGTCTAAGGGGGTAATCTTGATTCCTACATTAATATACTAGAAAACCACCATTTCACTATCTATGAGATGAGGGAAGAAGAGGGTAGTTAGTGACCACTGCCTGTCTACTACATTGTAACCCTCACAATGGTAAGTAAGTTTGGAGACTCCACATAATTAATTAACATTAATGAGTCTTTCTACATCATGAAGTCGGACTCACAAGGAATAGAAGAGTCAAATGGAATCAAGCAGAATAGCAAGGGAAAGAGGGGTAGACATGCAGACAGAGAGGAACACAGAGTGTGACATGACATGAGAGTGAGTACTCATAGACACCAGGAGATGGTGGATCTGCAAGTGAAAGAGTGAGACTGTCACTATGAAAGAAAGAGAGTTACAGCATAATAGTTAAAGGCATCAACATCTGAGCTACATTTATATGGGACACACTGCTCTATATTAAAGTATTAGCAAAGAATGGAGCTGATAAAAAGAGTCACTGGGCATCGTGAACTCGTGATGCCAACTACTATACATCTTGCGGAACATTATACAATGGTCAGTCGTATCAGGTGGATACATGGAAAATGTTATTTTTTTTTTCTCATGGTGTCTTATGCCAAAACAAGCAGATTTTCACATTGCAGAGCAGCAGCTGGAGAGACCCTGCTGACGTTCTAGTGTCAAAGACCTCTGAGTCCCTTGGCTAAATTCCAGCTGGATTAAAGAATACAAGAAAAAGGAGATTGAAAATTAATCTGAGGGCAGATGGGTTTCCAAGACAGTAACATACTGAAAGGAAAGAGCTAAATCAAAAAGATCAGTGCGGTTAAATGAAATGGGAAGACATGTAAAATGCAAACACAGTGAATGGTTTCCTTTTTTCGTACTTGACTTAAATCTTTTTTTCTGATGACAGATTTGTTAGAAATGCACTTTCGGTTTTTTTTCTATACAAAGTTTTAGACACACAAATCACAAAGAATTTCTGTGACAGAATAAAAAGGCACAAAAATAAAATGAATGAATAGTGATGGATTTAATGTTACTCTTACTTACAATAAATCACATCTTTTACTTTATAAAAGAAGGGCCCCGAGATCCTTAAAATATCCACGCACTTTGGTCAGAAAGGAACAGCTAACAGTTCAACACCGACCATAGAGATAAGATCAAGGTTCATCCTAAGTCCCTATTTCTTATTTTTATTTTTCAAAACAGCTACATGGTTCTAACAATAATTTGCAGTGGGGTAGAATCGTCTGATGGCCTTTCAACAGGCATGTGATTAAAAATAAATAAGAGAAATAAAACTGCAGGTGTGTATGGCATACACAAGTGTGCAGTTCAAAGCTGGTGAAATGATACAGGCAACATATCCTGATGGAAGATTGATTGCTAGATGTAATTTTAATTTACAGTATATTAATATGGTTTAATAGCAAAACGCTACATATACACATTACTCTGAAGTGTCCATGGTATGTGGAGTAACCATTTAATACATCACTCTCAATGAGCTTTCTCGCCTTTCAGACATCTTAATAATGAACCCTTTCCGAAAAAAATAAGGAACTGCACTTGATCCCATAAATCTGAGCCACGGTGCAACCAAACCAGGACCAATCACCAGGTTTCAATGGCAATAGCATACAATACAAAAATGGTTCAGGCACTCCAAGATCCAGAAATGGCAAATTTATTTAAGCCCAAAGTAACACAATGTTTCGACCTTGCCGTCTTTGTCAAAGATCGCAAGGTCGAAACGTTGTGTTACTTTGGGCTTCAATAAATTTGCCATTTCTGGATCTTGGAGTGCCTGAACCATTTTTGTATCTTAATAATTAAAAACCAAAGAAAAAAAAGTTACCTGCACTCTCTCCTAAATCCCAATGTATATTTTAAACAAATGGTATTTAGTCACTCCAATGGCCATTGGAGGGAATGCCCGCCTGCCACGTCGAGGCAAACCTCTCAGGTGGGTCCTACACTGACCTTTCACCTCAATTCATTATTCTTCTGGCAAAGATATCTCTAATGAGACAGAGAGGGGTATTTTTTTTTTTTTTTTTTTATTCTTTATTTTTGTTGTGCACAAATTAACAAACAGCCTCAGTATGCCACAACAGCAGTATTGAGGTATATAGAAATTAACTGTGCAATACAAGATGTGACATTTGATGTTTAGGCACAATTTTTAAAGAGTAAACTTTAGATAAGTCAGACTAGTGAGTTCAAGAATAGTAGGCTAAGTTGAGCTGATAGTTTAGGGTATTTAGTTAGCACTTAAGTAGTCAAACATGGTCTAAAACTTGCACATTAACTATAGGAACAGCTAGCAGAGTTTAACACGTGCTAGGCAAGTATAGGTTCATATACCACATGCTCATAGTGTCACGACAGCAGATACAAACTCAACCACAGCATATATGTGGAATTACAAGCCTGGCAGTAGAAAAGTCATGTATAATGATATATTGCATCAGCGGGCAGTAGGTGTCCGCAGATCTTGATACTTTATATAAGGAATAAAAGGTTATATGCATATATATATGTAGAAACAAAAAAGAAAAAAGAAAAATTTATAGAACATGGCAGCATTGAAGGGAACAGCACTCCGACAGTTCCTTAGTAACAGTTATGGCGATTCAGAACTGTCTCTGGTGTTAGGCAGGTGTCTCTTGGTCGGACTGCTCTGTTGTTTCGCTCTTCCCGTGGCCTTTTTCTCATGTGTTTTTCCCCCTCGGTTTGTCTCTTCTGGCATGTTGGCGGTTGGTCGGCCCAGTTTGTTAAAGAGAGTCTCTGGGTTATCTGATGAAGTTAGGGTGAATGTTTCTGTGCCTTGTGTGACGGCCAAAGATCCATCCGCATTCCATCGGTATCTGATGGAGCAGTCCCGCAGCCTCCTAGCCACTGGGGCCAGCTGTCTTCTTTCCACCAGGATGGTAAATGGGAGGTCGCTGTAGATGGAGAGGTTATGGCCCTCGAAACTCACTTGGCCCATAGATCTGGATTTAGCCATAATAGCGGTCCTCACCGCAATGTCTTTGGTTGTCACAATGACATCTCTCGGTGCGCCTGCTGGTGCCGCTGCGGATTTGCGTATTCGGAAGGCAGCCAGGATGCAAGGTGTGCCTGTGGGGCTGTGAATGCCCATTGAGGTAAACAGCTTTTGAACATATTGCAGCGTGTCCCCCCCCTCAACCTGTTCAGGTAGACCTCTCAGACGCACACTCCGACGCCTGTGTCTGGACTCCAATGTGAGCACCATTTTGCTTATTTGTTTAACTTGTGAGGTGAGATCCTCCACATGTTGTGTAGTGGTCTGGAGCTGAGCGTCCCTGGCTTGTTCTCTGCTCTCCATTGCAGACATCTCATGCTGCAGGGCCTTGACCTCAGTTTGTGTTTCCTGGAGGTCAGCCTTCCACATTGTTCTCAGATCTAGGAGCAATTTTTTAATATCTCCCTTTGTGGCGGGGGATGAGTCCTCATCTGAGTTAGTTCTCTGGTACACTCCATCTGGGTGAGGAGAGATGGTATAATCCTCTTCTTCAGGGGAGTCATCAGAGGCATCTTGCTCACTGTATTGCTCAGTTGCCGCCCTTGTGGGTGTTTGCTGGGGTGCCCTCCCAAAGGATAGTCTAATGTCCTGCACTGCAGGCCTGTCTGTCTGGAGCTGTCTTTTATGCTTGCGCCCCATATCGTCTGTGGGTATGTGTATGATACCAGGATCTCCCTCTCCGGTGGGGGGGGGGGGTTGGTGAGGCAAGTCTCTGGTGGGGTCTACTGTGGGAGCTGAGTCACCCTGTACCTTAGCAGGGGGAATGGCCACTTCCCGCCTGCCCGCATGTGGTAGGCCCCAACTCGTGCTGCAGACCTGAGTGATGGGGCTAGCGCTGCAGTTGTTGCTCCAGGCAGTCTCCGGGTGACTCCCCAGCTGCTCGTGGTTGGACCCGGTACGAAACAGCTTGATCAAAGCTGTGTTTTCTCCCAAATCGTCGCGGTGTAGCCGGAGCTCCAGTAAGTTGCGACCGCTCAGCTCCGCTGTTAGGCTCCGCCAGAGAGGGGTATTTTTAAATGTTCATAGCAGGTTTTACGGTGCGGGAGGTCAGTAAGTGCTGTGGGCAGTAGACCCTGGGGCGTAATGTTGTCCCTTCACCTTGACTCTTGACCCTCAGATAAAGAAAAAAGGTCCCTGGAGGGGAGGGAGAAATTATCTTGTAGGGCCGGGAATCTTTTCAAAGTGTCCATACTATAGAGGTCACCTACACTCAAGATGACCATCCTTGAATCGCTAGATTTTGGAAGTGGGCTTGTAAAGCTACAATGGGGGCCAGTTCAAGTAATGCCCTGGGGTCTAATACCTCCGGGGCCCAGGACCTCCAGGCCTGCAGAAGTGTCTGTGTACTCATTAAGGTCAGTCTGTCTGGGGGAGTCGGGGCGCCCACCCACAGAGCATGTAGTATGTGTATCGGGTTTAGGCAAGAGTTCTCAAAGGTGAGCCAGATAGGGATCGGTTCACCAGTGGATGCTCTTAGCAGTCTCATTCCCTGTGCCAACAAGGATGCCCTGTATTAGAACCGAACGTCCAGCAGACCTAGGCCGCCCAGTCTGTGATGGAGGCCCATAATTTTATGTGATAGTCCGGGGGGGTTTTACGTTTCCATACACGGGCATTTATAACTGATTGGAATCTCTTAATGAGGCGGGTTGGCAGCTCTATAGGAATGGTTCTAAACAGGTATAATATATACGGTAGTATCATCATTTCTATAGAGTTTATGCATCCTAGCCATGATATCTCTAGTTTTTTCCATGTTGTTATTTGGGTTTTGGGTTTTTGGATCAAAGGGCTGTGATTCTCTTGTGGTAGAGTGTGTATTGATTTAGTGCATCTATCCCGAAGTAGGAGAGCGACTTCTTTCTCAAGTTGAATGCATTTGTGCTTTCCAGTTGTGATGTCATGTGCGGTAATAGGATAGGGAGAGCTTGTGTTTACGCTGTGTTGTTTTTGTAATAGGATACTTCACTATATTTAGTTAGTAGGTCAAGTAACTGTGGAATGGACTGTGTCGGATTGGTTATATACAGGAGAATATCATCTGCAAACAATGCCAGCTTTTGTTCACCATTTGGTGTGGATATACCCTGGATAAGTGTATTTTGTTTTATATGTCATATCAGGGGCTCTAGGCAGAGAATGAATATGAGTGGGAAAGGTGGCTGCCCTGTTGCGAATGGCGAGCGGGAAGAGAGGAAGCCTGTGCTAAATATTTTTGCAGATGGGTTCTGATAGAGGGCCAGAATGCTGGTTATGAACCATAGGGGAATGCCCATTTTGGTGAGTGTCAATTGCATGTACCGCCAATTTAATCGATCAAACACTTTTTCAGCGTTCAGCGCTTGCATAATTCCCCCTTGGCGTATGGAGTGTGCCCATTCTATAAGGTTGATGAAGTGCCTAGTGTTGTCGCCTACCTGTTTTCCTGGGACAAAGCCTGCTTTTTTGTCAGATATTAGAGTGGGAAAGAGCAGTTTGATCCTATTAGCTAGTAGCTTGGCATAAAACTTGCCAGCGTTGAGTAAGGAAATAGGTTTGTATTGATGGTCGGGAGTTTGTTCGGTTTGGGAAACGTGAATATAAATGCTTCCAGCATTTCTTTAGGAATGATTCCTGTTTGTTTCATGTGGTTGAATAGTTTGGTTATGTGTACTAATACTAGTTTGACAACCCATCTGGGCCAGGTGATTTGTGCTTAGGTAGGGTAGCGATCATTTTAGCTACTTCTTCGTTCGTAAAGGGAGCCTTTAGGATCGCTTGTTGTTCTGCTGTAAAGATTGGGATGCGGGTTTGGTCTAAAAAAAGGGTAATCTCCTCGTCAGAGGGTTGGTGCATGTGTGGATCCTTGTCAAGCTGATATAAGGAAGCATAGTAGGAGGCTAGTTCCTCGACTATGTGTTAGAGGTTATACAGTTTGTCTCCTGTCTTGGAGATAATGTAGGTGTAACAGATGCCCCGTTCACTGGACTTATATTTTGTTACCATTCTAAACTTTATTTGTAATGCCATTCGCCTAAACTGTATACGAACTAAGACGAACAGACTTTACCCAGCTGGTTCGTATACCGAATGTTTTACCGAACATTTTGACCACCCAAGACAGTCGTGTGCTGTCAATTGACCTATTTGACACTGTTCTAAACCGCAACTCTGAACATTCGAAGTGTTTCACTGGGTGTCCGTCAATTCGTATGCACGAACATGTGGCAACGGCCATCTTATTTTGTCGAACGCGTCCAGCGGGGTTTGGTCGTCGAGGGTCTGGAACTATTTTCGGACACTCAATGACCCAAACACCGCTGAGACTTCCAGGACCACTTAGATTCGTCCTGATTCATCCGAAGGAGGCGGCATTCTGTAAAAACAACACATGAACAAAGAGGCACACAAATACCTTACGCACGAACAATTATTCAAGATATTGTTCAATATTTTGAACTGCACGAAAGAGACTGGCCGCACCAACTGAATTCATGCAACTATTCTGGGCAGGAGCCTCACGTGCGGCCGGGCAGAAATGGGACTTCCATGTAACTTTTGAATCATTGAACCGATCTGGGTGATTTTTGAATATGTTGTTCCTCCAGATAAGGAGATGTATGGGGTTTTATGTGATTTTGGGGTGTTTCCAGAAATGTGTAAAACAAATTCCTTTTTTTCGTTTGGAGATAATTGAGTTGATACAGTAATTAACTCAATTATTTCCCAAGCAGAGGTGAGGGATTGTATGCCAT